CACACACGCACACACACACACACACATACACATACACAAACACTTACAAACACACACACACACACACACACACACACACACACATGCAGGATCCAGCAACAAAAAATATGATAAAAGGAAAGAATAAGGACTGAAGAAGAGATCCAAGAACACAAACAGAAGGAAAAGAAGATAAAGAAGAAAAGAAAAGAAAAAATAAAAACAAGAAAAAATAGATAGATAGACAGATACTGAGATCAGATGATGGAATAAATAGATATATACATATATATATATATATATATATATATATATATATATATATATATATATATATATATATATACATATATATATATATATATATATATATATATATATATATATATATATATATATATATATATATATATATATATATATATATATATATAATAGATAGCTATATATAAATATATAATAGATAGATATAGATAAATAGAGATATTAATAGATAGATATAGATAAATAGAGATATTAATAGATATATGTAATAGATAGATAAAGATAGATAGATATATACATAGACATGTATAATAGATACCGATAGATAGACATAACAGACAGATGCATAGATAGATAGACAGTGAGAGAATGAGAAACAAGGAAAACAGCAAAACGTGAAATTAGATCAAACAATTAACGTAAATTAAATGCCGAATTTCAGAGAGAATGGAGGAACGGATTAACAAATGAATTAACGAGATATTAATCAACTGACAGAATAAGGGAATGATGGATTAAACGGATTAAATGACATATTATTATCATTATCTTTTTTATTGCGTTCACTTATCTTTACTTATCAGCCTAAAAGATAAGATATATTCGTTATTTCGCAAATGTTATTCTCGTATGCGTTAACTTATCTATTTAAAGATGGTATTTGAATATTTTGGTGGGAAATGAAATGCGAAATAAGAGTTTCTTTCCTCCCTTCCTTTCGTCTGCTTCATTCCTCGTCTTTATTTCTTCATTTTTTGTTCATTTCTACTTCATCTCCCTTCCTTTTATGTGTTATTTAATTTTTCTACCTTATTTCTTTATTTCATTCAGTTCTTCTCCATCTCCCTTTCTTTAATGTTTTATTTCTTATTTATTTATTTTTTACTCTGTCTCTCTTCCTTTAATGTTTTGTCTTTTCATTTGATATTCTCTTTCTCTCATATTTATTTTTCTTATATTCTCTTTAGGTTCCTATTTATTATCTTCTGTTCCTTCTATTTAATATTTTTTAAACCTCTTTCTTCCATCCCTTCTCCACAATCCTTAATTTTTTTCCTTCCTCTTTTCTTCTTTTGTTCGTTTCCCCCCTCTTTCTATGCCCCTTTCATTGGTTGCCACTTCCCCTCTAACGTTATTATTCTCATTTTCCTCTTCCTTCTCCTGTTCCCTCCTTCTCCCCCACTTCACTTGTTGCTATTCCCTCATTCTTGTCTTATTTTGCTAGTCTTATCTATTTATCTATTTATCTATCGATCTACATTTTTTTTTTACTTTCATTTTCCGCAAATATTTTTTCCTTTTCGTGTTTCCTTCTCATTTTCCCCTTTATCTTATTTTTCCTTTCCCCTCCTTCTCTTCTTCAAGTTTATTGTCGTCGCGTTCCTGTTTTCTGTTTCTGCTATTCACTCTTCTTCATCTTTCTCCCTCCCTCTCCCTTCCTTTTCCGCCCTCTTTCCTTTTCCTTTCTTTCTCTTCCTCCTCTCCTTCCTTTTCTTTTCTTTTCTCCTCCCTCTCCCCGTCCTCATATTTTCCCATTTCCTCTCATTCTCATCTTCCCCTCCTCCTCCTCTTTTTCTTTTATCCTTCTTCTTTCTCTTTTCCTCTCCTCCTTCCATATGTATCACCCTTCTTCTTTCTCTCTTTTTCCTCTTCCCTTTTCTTCTCTCTCTCTTCTCCTTCCCCCCTTCCACATTCCTCTCCCTTCCTGTTTCTCTCTTCCTCTTTCCTCTTACACATTCTCTTCCTCTCTCTCCTCCTCTCTCCCATCCTCTCTCTCTCCTCCTTTCTTCCATCCTCTCTCTCTCTCTTCCTCTCTCCCTCTCCTCCTCTCTCCTCTCTCTCTCTCTCTCCTTCTCTCTCCTTTCCTCTCTTTCTCTCCTCATCTCTTCCTTCCTCACTTACTCAATCTCATTCCCGATTCCTCTTCTTCCATATTCCTCATCCTTGCTCTTTCTCTCCTTCTCTCTCCTTTCCATATTCCTCATCGTGCCTCTTTCTCCCCTCCTCTCCCCCCTTTTTGCAATCCACACCCTTCCTCTTTTTCTCTTTCTCCTTCCATATTCCTCGGTCATCCTCTTTCTCTCTTCCTCCTCTCCCTTTTCCACATTCCGCCCCCTCCCTCTTTCTTTCCTGTTCTCCCCTTTCTCATTCTTCACCCTCCCTCTTTCTATTCTCCTCCTTCCCCCTTCCTTATTCCTCACCCTTCTTTCTCTCCTCCTCCTTTCTCTTTCATCATCCTTTCCTCCTTCTCCCTTTCCTTCACATTCAACACCCTTCCCTTTTCTCTCCTCCTTTCCTCTTCCATTATCCTTCCCTCCACCTCCCCTTCCTCCACATTCTTCATCCTTGCTCTTTCTCCCCTCCTCCTCCTCCTTTCTCCCTTCCAGGTGTATTCTCTCCGCGCACCTGTTCCTTCCTCTTAGTTCCATTAAGAGTCGACTCTGCACTTTAAAATTCTTTGGCTTTAATGTGACCGAAGACAAACTTGTGGTGACGTCAAGGCAGAGCAGATGGAGTTAAGTTTTCGTCAAGAAGTGCTAAGGATTTAGTCCCTCCGGCTAGTTCTCTGTGTGTGTATGTCTGTCTGTCTAGAGGAGAGGAGGGAACGAGGTGGTGTGTGTGTGTGTGTGTGAGAGAGAGAGAGAGAGAGAGAGGGAGAGAGAGAGAGAGAGAGAGAGAGAGAGAGAGAGAGAGAGTGTGTGTGTGTGTGTGTGTGGATGAAAGGGGGAAAGGGAAGGGGGGATATGAGTGTGTGTAGAGGTGTGTATATACGGGTATGACATTCGTGTTTGTGTATGTTTGTGTTTTTATGGGTGCGTGTGTGTGTATGTGCGTATTTATGGGTGTTTTAGTGTGTATATGTATGTACGTATCTGTATAAGAACGTATGTTTGTGCTTCGTAGATATATTTGCATACAAGTGCGTGGGTCAATATAGTTGTACGAGTGTTAGTATTATCATACATAATGTACACATAGATATTATATCATTACACGGTCACACAAGAGGAGAACAGATCTTATGAAAAATAAAACACATTAAGATATTACACAGTCAAAAGGATTATGTTGATATTTCACAGAAACATCATGACGCAATAGTAAAGGTAAACATTAATTTTCTTGACAATTTTCAGATATCATTTCTAAGAATTTACATCAACGCATTTAAAAGAGAATCCCACGACAGATTATTATCATTGTTATTATCGTTATCATTATTGTTATTGCTGTTACAATCGTTGTTATATATCTTCATTATTATCATTATCATCATTATTACTGCTGCTATGAATATAATTATCATCATCATCATTATCAATATTATTACTGTTACTATGG